CAAAGATTGTAGCGCCTTAATAGATTATTTATCTAACGTAATTAATAAATAGTTATTAATAAAGTTCAATATAATTACCTCTGCTATTAGATTCATTAGATTCCCTATGTCGGAGGTCTCTGACCTCTTGCCCTCTCAGCTTCTTTAGGAACAAAATCAGCCTGTGCTGTTGTTGAGAAGTCCATTTCACCCTCCTGTCTTAGGTTTTCTTTTGGCTTTCTGATGTCACTCCTGGTTATGTTCCACTGTTTGTAGGACTGTTCAATACAAATATATATATATATATATATCTGACAGTTTTGATATACATAACTTTTTAAAGTTTGAATTTTATAAATGAAATTTAATTTTGTACAACCGGCAAATAAAACTTATGACCTCCAAGTTCTCCTTTATATGAATACTTTGCATCAATATCTAAAACAGGACAATGTAGACCAGTAGGAGTAAAACTACTAGCGTAGGTAGTTCCTCCATCAAATGCACCACCACTTTCAAATATTCTATGATTTGGTGGCTTTTCTAAATTAATCCTTTGTATTGCTTGTTTGGATGGATCTATGAAAGTAACTTGGTTTGTAGTCCTTGTATCAAATAATCCTTCTCCAACTTTTTGTGAAGTTGGAGGTCTAGCTGCTTTTGTCCGAACAAAACTTTCACTTTTACCGAACTCTGAATGGCTAGTAGAATGAATTGGAAAACCATTAAAATTTTTCTCACTATCTTTAATCCCGTTTCTGTTTAAAAAATATAAAGAAGATTTTGGACGCAGGGCATTAGGACGATCGGTTTGCAAACCTTGATATGAAGACTGTGTAGTAGTTTTATAATTAGCATCCGTTGGAAACTGATGTAAAAATGTAACATTATGACCGTGGTATCCATTTGTTTTACCGTTTTTTTCAAATTTACCATTTTCAAAAATATGAGAATCTCTATTTCTTTGCACATTAAAGCTGTTCTTTAAATTGGACTTCCTAAACTCATCGATCACTTTTCTTCTAGCACTTGAAGTAAAATCTGTCTGTGTTGTAGTAGAAAAATGCGTTTCACCTCCCTGTTTCAAATTTTCTGTTGGCTTTCTTACTTCGTTTTTATACAAATTCCATTGTTTAAATTCACTTCTTGTAGTAGTAGTATCCAAAAAAGGACTTTGATCTTGTATTAGTTGTTCAGGCTTGAAGCTTTGTGTTTTTTCCATAGGTAGAACTTGGAATGATTGCTGTGTGGTTGTTGTTAAATCCATGTCGCCTTCGTATTTTGACGTTGTCATTGGACGTTGGCCTCTCACTCTCTCTGTCTGTTTACCAACAAAATCAGATTGTGCTGTTGTGGTGAGATCCATGTCGCCTTCGTATTTTGAAGTTGTCGGAGGTCTCTGACCTCTTGCCCTCTCAGCTTCTTTAGGAACAAAGTCAGCCTGTGCTGTTGTTGAGAAGTCCATTTCACCCTCCTGTCTTAGGTTTTCTTTTGGCTTTCTGATGTCACTCCTGGTTATGTTCCACTGTTTGTATTCACTTTTGGTAGTGGTATCATCAATGAAAGGCGATTGGTCTTGTATTAGTTGTTGTTCAGGCTTGAAGCTTTTTGTTTTTTCCATAGGTAGAACTTGGAATGATTGCTGTGTGGTTGTTGTTAAATCCATGTCGCCTTCGTATTTTGACGTTGTCATTGGACGTTGGCCTCTCACTCTCTCTGTCTGTTTACCAACAAAATCAGATTGTGCTGTTGTGGTGAGATCCATGTCGCCTTCGTATTTTGAAGTTGTCGGAGGTCTCTGACCTCTTGCCCTCTCAGCTTCTTTAGGAACAAAGTCAGCCTGTGCTGTTGTTGAGAAGTCCATTTCACCCTCCTGTCTTAGGTTTTCTTTTGGCTTTCTGATGTCAGTCCTGGTTATGTTCCACTGTTTGTATTCACTTTTAGTGGTGGTATCATCTATGAAAGGTGTTTGTTCTGATGTTAGATTTTGTTGAGGTCTAATCCTCTGTGTTTTTTCTATTGGTGGTACTTTGAAAGACTGTTGTGTTGTTGTTTTTAAATCCATCGATCCTTCTTGTCTGTAAGATGTTTTTGGTCGAGTATGTTTTTGTATTTCTATCTTTTTTGCTGGATAATCTATATTTGTCGTTGTTTCATACTGAGTTCCATTTCTTTTTTTTAATACTTCATTCTGTGCTTTTTTGGTTCCAGTAGTATTATTTGGTTTTTCTGTTGTGCTTTTGTATTCCTTTTGGTAAATGCTTTGAGACTGGATTTGCCCTTCTGTCTTTAGTGTTGTTGTTGGTCTTTTCTGTTCGTATTTTTCAATTTGTTTTTCTGCCATATCATTTTTATGAATAGTATATTCCATCTTTCCATCTAATTTTAAAATTTCTTTTCGTTCTCTCTTGTATGTTTGAAACTGATCTCCTTCTTTGATGTTTGATGCATGTAGAGGTTTTCTTGTATTTTCTCCATTTCCTTTTAGTTGCTTCGTTATAGCTGTGTCTTGCAACTTCATACTGTGATTTGTCATGTTTTCTTTTTCGTTAACTTGATACGATTTATATATTTTTTGTACGTGCTCTGGCGATACTTCCCACTGCTTTCTTTTTGATTTTAATTGATCTGTAAATATATATTATTATATATATAAATTTTGATAAAAAGAATTATTATATATACGAATTAAACTGAATAAATTCTGGCATATATCGTGATGAATACTGCATAAATGAACATTTTGCAGTATTCATCACGATATATGCCAGTTGAGTAAAAAATAGAGAACACCGTTCCAAAATACGAGTAGACTAATACGGGATATATCATGTATATCAGTGGCGTGCCGTGACATTTGATGATAGGGAAGCTGTGTTTCTGTAAAAAGCCGACTTCCAGGGGCAACCAGTTAATTCTTTAAATGTATTTTTAATAGATTATTTATCTGACGTAATTAATAAATAAACAAGTTCAATATAATTACCTCTGCTATTAGATTCAATAGATTCCCTATGCCCTCTAAATGCCAATTCTTGCTTTGATAAAAACAAATAACATCTATTAATTTAAATATATCTATTAGCCGTAACTATCTCGTTATAATTTTCAATATTTATTTTATATTATTTACTAATGTTAAATTCTATTTGTCTTTGATTTCCAAATTGCTTCAAATACGAAAGAATCGACGATTTTTCGTGTCTTTTGCCAGCTAAACTGTCAAAGAAAAACTTATTCCACACACTAATTTTATTTGAAAATAGTAGGGAAGGCCAACAAAACAATTTTTGCATTTTTATGCATCCACAAAGCCATTTTATCGTAAAAATGTCGGACAAATTTTTTATTGAAGTGTTTATATTTAACTTAGGCATTGGCCTTTCTCTTTTAATAATGTTTTGCTTTTCATTATATGATCTCGAGCGAAAACTTTTTAAAAATAAATTTTCAATACGGCAATTACATTTGAATCGCTAGCCACGATATATGGGCTAAAATTAAAAATAAAATTATAAAAACTTACTCGTTGAAATAAAATGTGTGGTGGATATCCATACCTGGTACAAAATATTCTTCAATTGTATGAATATACTTTTAAAGAAAATTATAATTAAATATAGCATTGTAAAGAAACGTACATAAAAATAATGTAATATCTTTACTTTTTAAATCTTAACCACTTAGTCAAATATCTCTCTACGAGTGGAATCAGAGACGGTCCTGCTAGGTGTGCGGTGCGTGCATGCACGCGGGCTGCCAAATTCCGAGGGTGCCCATACCGGTCAATGTCAAATGCCTCTTTTCTCGCATCACTAGCATATCTCATAGGACGCGACAGGGTTGTAAATTTTAAACGTTTCTCACCATAGCTGTAAAAATCTAAATATGTTAAACTTAATAGTTATTTGTTTTCTAACTAATTCTTTTAGGATCCACGGAAATTTCCAAAATTTACAACTTTTCGGTCACTCTCGTTGAACTGGAAAAATTTCTGTTTATATTACGTCTAATATTACGAAGAAATCAGTCCCCACAGTACTCGGCTAAAGATTGGGTCGGTTAAGCTTTTAAGTAATATTCCAACTCTTTCAGCAGGGTTTTATTTTGTTCCTAATTTCCTAATCTCTTAATTATTTAACTACTTCTTAAGTAGAAATAAGTCGAAACCGATTAATTTGTACTCGAATATTTGTAGTCGTGGGAAAAAAGTGGAAAGACAAATTTTTATGACAACGGATACGTAAATCGTAAATTTAAGGAAAATATCAATAAATTCTAGAGCTTTTTCTGTACCTCGTGCATTTCTCTCATTCATTAAATTTAGTTGTAAATGATGCTATCAAAGTAACAGTTAATTTTTTAACATTGTACATGAATTGTACACGTTTTTTTCTACATTCCCTTATAGATGGGACATACGAAATCGTAATATCACTGGTTTAACATTGAAATCCGTGAGTAATATAAAATCGGAGAGCGGAATAAAAATATCAAATATTTTAATGGATTTTTTAAAACTCCTGTCAACTATACAGAACTATCGTAAAAACATACCAGTAAATTCTTATCGGTTGGGTTAAGTTATAAATCTACTCGCGATTCACATAATCGGGCGAGAACGGCAAATATCTAGCGGGCAGGCGGCTAACGGCCCAGAACCGGTCCTGGATAGAATTGGAAGCGTTATACGTGTAGCTTCCACCCAAGGTCTTAGGCTTCCACCGGCTAAACGGGAGCCGAATTCTGGTCACTGTCTCTAGTCTCTAATCTCTCACAATCTTGTCGCTGATTGGCTAATCATTTGGATTAACCAATCAGCGACCGGCTTGTGAGAGACAAGAGACCAGAGACGGTGACCAGAATACGGCCCCTGGTGAGGTTGGTGCTGTGTAAAGCGCATGCGCGAATCTGGCTGTTTGAAAGCTGACAATACAGCGCTTCCACTCTGCCACTAATATTCGAATATATAATAGCGATCTTATTTTTTTTCACATGTAGTATAGAAATTTGTAATAAGGTACGTAATGCGGTTATAATAAAATATTGTGCGATTATTTTCATATAATTAAAATTAATATGTATTTATTTTTTAGAAAACACAATGGAAGCGGCGCTTCCACTGCTTTAATGACGGCACGCTACTGATGTATATAATACCAAGCTTTACCGTGCAGAGCATGTGGAACAGCACTGTAACAATTACTGTAATTCCAGATCTTTTGAAATAAAACTCGTGTTTGAAATCGCTATGCTAAATAACAACTTATTTAATATAACGATAAATATTACAATGAAAATTATATCATGGGCTATTTTCCACAGCTGATGCGCTCTACCTTAGATGATTGATACAAGTGACCGAGCGTAAACAAAGACATATTAACTATTTTATTATCTTAAAGAAATTATTATAGATAAATCTGATGTAGAATAATGTTCTTCTCAGTAACGAGGGGAATGTATATAGGGAGAAACGCAAATCTGTATGAAACTTGCAGTTTGTAGGTGGTCATTTCCTGAGTACACATGTAAAATAATAGGTGTAAATGTCCAACCGTTCAATATTAATTAACAAAAAAATATTTTAGTGTCCGTTAGTATTCCTATCAGCGAATAACAGTTCGTTTCTCACTCAACGTAGAATCACGTGGAATAACGGCGGAAAGTTCAACGCGGTTAACTGAGACAACTGACATTAGAATAAAGTGGAAAGGATAATAAATTTAACACAAATTCTACACAAATAATCATGTGTAATTTAATTCAAAAGACAAAACAAACGAATCTTACTCGAAATAGTATTCTTTATCGAGAGATTTAATCGAGGAATAAGCGTATTTTGTATAGTACATCAGTTCTTTCTCGATCTAAGAAAATATCTCTAATGCGAAATCGTACACTTTTCGTTGCCGCGCCGCATGTATGCATATACTCCAAAACTGGTTAAATACATATTATTTTGTTTAATTAATTTAATTATTATTTATAAATAGTTAGGTTGATATTTTAACAAAAGTTTGAAAAAAGGTAATTGCAAAAAACATCGGGATTTGAACTCGAGACATCATCACGATAGGCGAAAGTCTTTGAGAAGAGCATTGAAACGACATTCTTACCGCGATCCTTATAACAAACACTACCATCTTTGTTAATTATTATTAAACGGCTGGCTATCTACACTTAGGGTTGCTAGATTTTTCAGATTTATTTCAACAGATATAATCACGATAAAATAATATTCACAAAATTTGAAATTGAGAACAAACGAACGAAGTCATTGCAAGATATTTTATAATAAAGTTACAATTTCACCATAAATCAGAAATATCATACAAAGTTTATAGTTTATCGCGATATTTTAAATACAAATTCTCATAAATAAGTAATAAATAATGCTACCTTCTCACGTAATATAGAAATTTTAACCCATTATAAATTTACAATAAAACGAACTTTATTCTCTAAAACAATTACAAGATTAGAAAGAATACGAAATTTAAAAAGTTATCTAAACCTTTACATCATTTGTAGATCATAATCCCACAGCTTTAACCAATCGATGCAAATTTTATTAAATCAATTGATGAATGAGCATTTCGAATCTCTGTCTTAAATTTTCAATTGGCTAAAAATCAATCTGAAATTCGTTCCAAATAGGGGAGACCGGGGCAAGATCGGCATGTTAAGCTTTACTTAAATTTTGTGTAATAAATACTGCTGTAAACTGAAAAAAAAGCTTTGCATATTGTCTATTGGAGTGTTACCTTACTATAGAACTGGTTAAAATCAGTTTGGAAATAAAAATAATTAAAATAATTACAACTTTACAAGAAGAGAGAAATTGACGAAGTTGCCCCGGGTATAGGGGCAAAATCGGCAACTTCTCTCTTTTTGTAAAGTTGTAATTATTTTAATTATTTTTATTAAAGTTGCCCCTGGTATAGGGGCAACAGTAATGGGGCAAGATAGGCACGTATATAAAATTATGTTATTAACAATGTATAAGTTGGAATTCACTATTAAAACAAAGAAATACAAATCCAACACCCATTTAATATTATTACAACGAAATGCAAGTTCAAAGACATATATACATGAATAACAAATGCAAACATGTTTTCATTTATCATCTGTTTGATTTTTATCCTTTGCTTCTAATGTGGCTTTATGTTGCCGATCTTACCCCGCTAGTCATGATTTCGAAACATTAAGTACAACCCTGAGAACAGAATGCCAAGCCACGATCTGGCCACGTGAATAAGTTGAAGTTACATCCTTCTAACAGGAAAAGTAACTTTCGTTATCATGGAATTATAACAAAACCTGCCAATTCAATATAAATGGAAAAAAAATATTATATGGAATTGAACGAAAATGAAAATTTGCTTGATAATTCAACTACGCTTGTTGGAGAACAATAAAAACACTACACTCAACAAGCCACCAATAAAACTCAACTGCCTAACCTATAACCAAAGTCTCCTTTTAATTTGTTTTTTAAAAAAAGTGCTTGACAAACTTGCCCCGCATGCCGAAGTTGCCCCGGTCTCCCCTAATTGCGAAGCACTCCTATAATTTTACAACGTTTATTTAAAAAAAGAAACCATATTCAAAGAGGAAAAAAA